GTGTGTATAATGATTTGGTTAATATTGAATGAAAAACATATAAACAGGAAGGGGACAGCAAGGTGAGCAAGGAAAGGATAATGAATAAATTCCAGAGGGCTAGGAATGTGGGAGACCCTGAGTAACTGTTCAGCACTCTGAGGGCAGACAGCTTTCCTCCTTTTCCCACCCTGCCCCAACCTTGGGTTCATAGGGGCCTCTTCCCAGAAGAAGGGGATGCTCGAGATGAATTCAGAGGAAACTGGGAATGTCCACCAGGGCTTCAGACAACGAGAGTAGCTGCCTTTGAGAAGATGGATTGAAAGCCCTTAATTATGTTCTTCAGATCAAGTCCTCAGGGACAGAATTTCTGTTGGCTAAAATCAATCAAGACTGCAGACACTCCAAGGGGAGGGCGGCAGGTTTAAGGGTTTACTCACATCCATCAAAGGACTTGGCAACTCCTGCTTCAGCAGCAGAGAGATGGAAAAGACCAGAATCTGGGATGTAACCAAGGTGAGCCGGAAGAGCTCCTTCACTGACCTGCTTGAGATTCCACCATTATAGTCACTCTGAATAGGTTTTGGTCTATGTCAATGCATAATGTTAACCAGATGGGGTAAGCTGGGAGACAGGAAAGGGATCCAAGATGATTAGAGGGGGACAACAGGGCCATTTTGGAGTCCCGATTATTTGCCTAGGTGTCTGGAGGAGACAGGGGTATCCTGAGTAACTAGAAGTCAGCATAAAGACACTGCTCCCTAGAGGGGACAAGGGAATGTGCAGAGTGGACTTCACTTCATTCATAGTTTTGCTTAAGCCAGTGCAAGTAATAAAGATCACATATTTAATGCCACACTCCTGCTGAAAGCCCTTCAGTGGACCATCACCGACCACTTGAAAAAGCCCAGACTCTCCAGCCCAGCTAACAGGCACACATGGTCTGTTCCTGCCAATCTCCTCAGCCCATGTTCTTGGCACTTGACATCTTTTATGCTCTAGCTACACTAAACTATCCACACACCCTCATAACTCCAGATCTTTGCACATGCTATACCCAATGTGGGAATATCCTGTATTCTCTTACCCAATTCCTCCAAATTGTCCCAGAAGGCTCAACTCAAGCATCACTTGCTCGGAAGTGTCTTCTCTCAGTGCCCCACCCTCCACCGGAAATGCCAAAGTTTTAGTAGCATTCCCTGGGGATTCCCAAAACCATCATTCTGTATGGAAATTGCTTGTTTTGGTGGCTTTCTCCTCAAGACTGTGGTCTGTTCATCCCTGTGTCAGGCCTGGTAAAAAGCAGGCATTTGGTTAAAACTGGAGGAAATCAGCAATCAGCACCACGGACAACACAATTTGTATAGAACTGCACTGAATACTCTGCCTGCCCTCAAAGGGCTTCCATTCAGAAGTCCTATGTGAGCATGAAAAGATGCTCAACATCCCTGCTCATGAGAGAAATGCAAATAAAAACTGTAATGAGATACCACCTCATGCCCATTAGGATGGCTAGTATAAAAATAAAAAATAAAAACAAACACAAAATAACAAGAGCTGACAAAGATGTGGAGAAATTGGAACCCTTCTGTAGTATTGTGGGAATGTACAACAGTACAGTCACTATAGAAAACAGTATGGCAGTTCCCCCAAAAACTAAAAGTAGAATTACCATATGATCCAGCAATTCCACTTCTGGGTAGAATATCCCAAAAGAATTCAAAGGAAGGTCTTGAAGAGATATTTGTACACCAGCAGCATTATTCACAATAGTCAAAACATGGAAGCAACCCAAGTGTCCATTGACAGATGTATGGACAAGTAAAATGAGGTATGTATACACAGGGAATATTATTCAGCCTTAAAATGTAAAGAAATTCTGACACATGCTACGACATAGATAATCCTTGAGGACATTATGCTAAGTGAAATGAGCATTCACAAAAAGACACAGTATGATTCCACTTTATATAAGTAGTTAAATTCAGAGACAGAAAGTAGAATTATGGTTGCCAGGGGTCTGAGGTAGAAGGCAACACGGAGTCAGTGCCTAATAGGTACAGAGTTTCAATTCTGCAAAAGGAAAAGAGTTATGGAGGTAGACGGTGGTGATGGTGGCACAACAGTATGAATGTACTTAATGCCACTTAAAAATAGCTAAGGCGGTAAAGTTTATGCTATGTGTATTTTACCACAATAAAATAAATAAATAAATAAAATTTAAAAGCCCTGTGTAAGGAATCTGAGAGCCCAAGTTCAAATCCCGGCTCTACTACCACCAGGCAGGGTGGTCATGGCCTCAGCTGCCTCTGCTGTAAAATGGGAATAATCCTTAGAGTGGGAAGGTTTTATCTTTTGAGGACTTTCTCAGGTTGTGGCTCTGTAACCTTTTCATATTGTGCACGGTATTTTGTGATGACTGGTAAAAGGCACATACTATTTTTGTTTCAGGAACACAAAATATCCAGCAGGTACCCACAAAATGAGAATACTTCCTTGGGAAATAGTCTTGGCACAAGAATCCAACATGTAGAACCCATGTATTAGGCACACAGGGGATTTCACCAAGGCCCATTTTACACACTGACAATGAATTCCCTGTGCTGCCGTCTAGTGTCTAATGACAATATTGACCTTTTCTAGCTGTCAAACTTGTCTTATTAAATCCTGAGGTCTTAACTGCTTTGCACACAGGGCTTGATAGTTTGCCCACTTGAGCACGTGTTCATGTATAATTCATGGCATATCACGTTGCCTGGCAAATGAATATGTATCAGCTTTTTCATAAGAAGCACTATGGTGTTTCTTTTTGTTGCTACCAAAATTCTATGCTGCAGCAAATGAAATTTGTGAGAAAATTAAAAAAAAAAAATATGAAGCAAATACTCCAACCAAGTCCATTCCACTTGTAATTTTCCATTTGGTGTTTCTTTTTGTTGCTACCAAAATTCTATGCTGCAGCAAATGAAATTTGTGAGAAAATTTTAAAAAAAAATATGAAGCAAATACTCCAACCAAGTCCATTCCACTTGTAATTTTCCATTGTTTGAGGCCTCGAGTGTGTATGGAGGTGGTTTCGGTTTGGCTATGACAGAGAACTGCTGAGTCGTCCAGAACAGAAACACTTCCACATGCTACACCTATTGCCCCCACAGAAAACTCCCCCACACCTCACTCTGTTTTAATTGCAGGGGAGCCCAAGACCCTTGCAACAGCTCTATTCCAGACCCTCCAGAGATCGAGTTTTTGGAGGACCGAGTATAAGGAACCCCAAATGAAGATCGGTACAGAGTGATTGGTGGCTCCAAGCCTGGCAGAATTTCATAGCTTCCAAAATGGGCTACCATCCAGTGAGGGGATAGCCATGTGCCATGGACAGCTGGATCTCACATCCCCCCCACCCCATGTTGAGTTAGGAGGGTCCCACAGAATGCATTGCCTTGTCTGCTGGAGGTGGCCTGTGCCCTCGTGCCCACTGCAGAGAAGAGCCAAGAAGGGGCCCAAGCATGACTCCTCTAGCCTTCTGACTCATTGACCGAGAACTGCAGTGATGACAATCTCAGGTCCACATGGACACTCTCACCTGGAGGTGAAGTTTCAACATGGTTGTGAATACAGTCTGTGGCGTGGTTGTCATCACCTCGGACTTGAAAGATGATGATCATGTTAGTGCTAATGCTACTGGTGCTAATGTTGATGACAGCAGTTAATACGTATTGAGCCTTTACTCTGTGCCAGGCCCTATGTCAAGCACATCAACTATGCTGATACATGTCTTCCTCAGAACACCCCCTTGAGGTAGGCATTATTGTTATTTCCACTTTACAGATGGGAAAACTGAGGCAGAAAGATAAATTAACTTGCTTAAGTGAACACTGCCCCAACTTGGAGTCAAATTCAGGTGTGTTGACCCTGAGGCTCATGCACTTTTAACTACCCTCCCTTGGAATCAAGAAACTTGAGTTCAAGGAACAAACCCACAGATGCCTGGCTGTGTGGCTTTGGGAGAGTCACTTCATCTCTAAGAGCTGCCATTTTCTCCTTTGTAAAATGGGTGTAATAGTTCTTCTTTTGCAGCGCTCTTGCAAGGATGCAATAACGCTTTACAAATTCTAACAAGCTCTATAACCATTGATAGGCCTATGAAACATTTATTGAGAGTTTGGCACTGAGAATAAAGATAGGATCCCGTGAGTTTATAGATTTGGAGAAACGAGACACGGGGACAAAAAGACAAAGTTAGGTGTATATATTCATTCATTCATTCATTTAAAATTTTATCAAGTACTCAATAGAAGCAAGAAAACACATAGTGATCTATGTAATTTTGGATAAGAATTTAAACAAAGGGATGTGATGGAGAGCAATATCTGAGCCAGGATCTGAATAGCACGATGACACCAGCCATGCAAAGACCAGGGGAAGGAGGGTTCCAGGCAGAGGGGACAGCTAGTGCAAAGGCCCTGAGGGGGGTTATTCATTATAATTCTCAAAGATGGGGGGCCCTAGTGCAAATACTTCCCCAACATATTGGACCCTGACACACTTTTTTCATAGACCACCTCAGCGTGCTGGTGCTGAGTGAAACACACTCTGGAAACAATGGCTTTCATCTTGTTGGGTGCCCTTTTAGCTGGGACATGTTCTTCTCATTACTCTTTTTATTCTTTTCCTGCACTTCCTCATGCAGCATTCAGAAGGGCCATTCTGGGATGGGTAGGGTCCTGAGTGACATTGTGGGGGGGGGGTGCAGCCTGGAGCAGCAGTCCGAGGTGAACCTCATGCTACCCTCCCCATTGTGTGGGATGGGTAGGGTCCTGAGGGGCATGGGGGGGGGGGGGTGCAGCCTGGAGCAGCAGTCCGAGGTGAACCTCATGCTACCCTCCCCATTGTGCCCAAAGTCTGGATCTTAGATCCCAGTCAGATGCCCCTTGGGGGGATTCCCTAAGGAATAAGAGCTCAGCAGACCTCAATTGAAGCATCCGGGCCTCCACCTCCTCTTGCACCCAGCTCTTGCATACCTTCCTCTCATCTATTTCCTCAGAGGCTGCCATGAGCTTCTTCAGGAGTGGAGGGTCCAGCACCTGGAATCGCCGGCGGAAATGAGTGAGCCCCATGTGGTCAGCATAGCCTGGGGAGGGGAGCAGGCAGGAGAAGAACACAGAGTCCAAATGAGAAGACCCCGCTCAGCACCCAAGACCTTCATTCAGGATTCAGGGTCCTCCTCCCAGCCTGGCTAATAACTTGCTGTGTGGACCCACTTCTCGGGACCTCAGTTACCCTATTGGCTAATTTAAGAAATGGAATTTGATTGGCAGTTTTCAAATGTGTTCCCCAGAACACAAACCCTATAAAACGTTCCACTGAAAGCTTGAAAAAGCTGCACACTCATCTGCCTCCTAGAAAGTCACAATGCATATCAGCATCCAGGCCAAAGACTGAGAACTCCTTCAGGGAAGACGCCTGTTTGGCCTTGGGTTTCCCAAAGTTAACCCAGAGATTCCCAAACCTGTTTGACCATGGGAACTTTTTTGTCTAATACTTATTTCCGCCCCATAGACTGCACATGGGAGATGCTGCATTGGGCAGAATCTAAGGGCTCTTTTAAGTCTACCACGTAGGGTGGCCACCACTGCATCCTCTGTGTGGGAAACTGGAAAGAGAAGGGGCACCTGAAAATCTATTAAGAGAAAGTGACATTAGAGCCGGCCTTTGAAGGAGAGTTTTACAGAAGGACTTGGTACAGAAGGGACGTTTAGGCAGAGGTAGGCACACAGACAAGACCTAGAGTGGGGAAGTGTAAGGTTTGTTCCACAGTCAGCAACAGCCAGCATTTACTGAGCACTGACATGTGCAAGACCTGAGGGTAGTGGCTTCCTTGTGCTGTAGATGATCTCGGGCTTGTATTATTATCCCCACTTTTATAACTGTGGAAATTGAAGCCCAGAGAGATAAAATCACCTAGTTGCACAAAGTCACGTAGATAGTAACTGTCCCAGCTGGGATTCAAACCCAGGCAGTGACAATAAATAATCAAGTGGAGAGTAGCCGAAGATGAGCAGAGACTAGTTCCCAAAGGGACTTAAACTCAAATTCCAGGCCTCTAGGTTTGGACTGCTTCCTGGGAATGAGGGGCATGGTACAGTCTAGCTTGCGACAGAAAAACCCCCCCCCCCCCCCCCGAGTGGCTTGATCAAAGAAGGTCTGGTGAAATCTCACTCCACTTTTGAGACTTCATTTCACAATAAGCCAAATGCATAAACCAAGAGGAAGAGTGATCACAGATGTGTGTGGCTAATCCAGGAAGCCTTTCTGGGGGAAGAGGAGGGTCTCAGGCTGGCTTTGAAGGATGGAGACAATACAGAGACCTGGTACCCCAGGAGGCCTACAAGCCTGAACTTTTCTTTTGGGTCAGACTTATTTGGGTTCATATGCCATTTCTGCCTTTATTGGTCCCATAAATGGGGACAAATGACACCACCTCTTTGCAATTCAACTTCTTCACTTGTCAGATGAGAATCAGAAGAGCTATCCTCACATGGTCACTATGAGGATTAAATCCAGTGATGATTATAGTAAAAGCGGCTATCATATATTAGGTGCTTTCTCATGTCCAGCTGCTCTTCTAAGCTTTATCCCCTTATTAACCCACTCAACCCATGCAGCAACTCTCTGAGATATGAGCCATTACAGAAGAGCAAAGGAAGCATGCTTTAGGGACCTGCCTGGGGTCACACAGCTGGTAAGTCGTGGCTGCTAGAGTCAAGCCCAGAGTCTGAGCTGCGCCCACCAGCCTGTACAATAGGGAGTGTTTAATGAGCATTTGCTATATGCCAGACACTGTACTAAGGGCTTTGTGAGGATGATCTTATTTAGTGTATGTAATGACACATTGCCTAGCACATAGTAGGTACTCAATAAATAGCATGCATGGGTATGTATTATGTGTGCATGTACATGCAAGGATACTTCAAAAAGTTCATGGAAAGAGTAATACTATCTTCTAATTCTATTTTCTCACGAACTTTTTGAAATACTCTCATATATGTGTGAATGTGTATATATGTGTGCAAAATCAATATCATAAGTATTTGATGTATGTATCTAAGTGTGCATGTAAGTACAACGTATGTGGGTGTGAAAGACGTAGAAGTGACTTAGGGTAGAAAAAGAAGAACCAGGTCTGGGAGACAGAAATTGGAAAGTTCTACAATGAGACATTGACCCTTTATGTAGTTGGAAGGCTCATCCTGGCTGAGTTGGGCTGTGCTGAGAATGAAGAGGGAAGACACTGCACAGGACACGAGGCCCGAGGAGGGGATGCCCAGACCCGAGCATGCACACAGGGACTCTAACACTCTGGCAGTGGTCCAGGGCATCTGTGAAGGCCTGGCACTCCCTGCCAGCCAGCCGAGCAGAATCAATCCTCTGCAGGGGCCGAGCTGCCGGCTGTGACCATCTCGCTCTTCCCCTGTGACATGATCTGTCTCCCTGTGCCTGTGGCTGTGCAGAAAGGAGGGAAAATCAATGATGCACTCAGGGGACTGAGAGTCTCATCTTTGCTTCCAGCTGCTCCCGGGCTCCCTGGCAAACACTCCGGGACCAGAGTTCCATTATTAACGTGGTGGGGGAAGATAAGGGCAGTGACCACAAGCTGGAGTGTCAGTGACCACGGAGACATCAAACAAACAGGTGCCACCTGATACTCCCCACCAGCCCCAGCCACCCCATCCCCTGCAGAGAGAAGTGCTGTGCCCAAGGCATTTCTCACTGTCAGGACAGGGAATCGATGGGGTGGCCTTTGGAAACTGGGAGAATGAGAACGATTAAGACCAAACTCAGCTCTTAAGATTAGCTAATGGTGGGAACCTCAGGTGCACACTTGCTTACTAAAATGCAGACCTGGAAAGTTCATTCTTTTGATTAGAACCCCTTCATTTCTGCCATGCCATTATCCCCCCATTGGACCTGGTAAAAGCTAAATTCCCAATATAGGCATTCCCAGCCCTCCCGGATAGATACGAAAGTCTCATCTCTCACCATTCCCCATCCATTCTGCAACCCATTCCTTGAACACCCAGCCTCCTTCACACCTCCCCGCCTTCATACTTGCTGGTCCTTTTGCCCAATTTTCCCTCCCCACACCTCCCAGAGGTGAGCTGCTTCTTGTGTTCTGAGACCCCATTAAGATGTTACATCATCTGGGAGGTTTCCCTAATCTTCCCGGTGAGAGTAAAAGGCTTCACAGGCATAGGGCCCTCCTGCATCCCTGTGTGACCTATGCACCCGTACCACATCATAGCATCATCTCCTGTGATCACACTGACCTCCCAAACCAAACTGAGCATCTTGAACACCAAAAAAGTTACTCATTGTGGGAATTTCACTTTCTATCCCAAAGCAGATGCTCCTCAGACATCTGTTGTTGAAAGGAAGATGAATAAGACACCACCCTAGCCTCCCGGGAACATACAAGGAATTCTGGAAATAATATAGACTTTGGATTCAATGAGACCTGAGTCCAAATCCAGGCTCTGCCATGTCCCAGTAGTGTGACCTTGAGCAAATCCTTTCACCTCTGAGACCTTCAGTTGCTGCATCTGTAAAATGAGGGTGACCATAGCCTCTCCCTTGCAAGACTGCTGGGAAGAGTAAATGGGGTGCTGCATGGAAAGCTCCTGCCACACAGTAGGTGCTCTTGTCCCTTGGCGGCCACTGGTAGGCATGTCCCAGGGGTCAGAGACAAAGTGCTCTGTTTCTGGCTGTCTCTTACCTGTCCTGTGTAGTCGCAGAGCCTCCAGGATGTGGGACCCTGCGAGCTGAACCCTCAGTGCTGGGATGTCCAGGGCTCGAGGCTCACCTGCCCCAGGTTTGTCTTCACCAGGCTGCAGTGGCACTGAAGACCCCTGTAGTCCCCTGCTCTCCACCACTGGGTTTGGCACCAGACAGTGGATAAAGTGCAGCCGAGACTTTCTGATCACGCTGGTCAGTGCATCCTAGGACCAAGCAGAGAGGAGGTCAAGACCAGTTGTCTCAGGGTGAGATGGACAGGGGTCTGGACACTCCCCACACATACATTCAGCCTGGCCTGGGTATCTTTGGGGGCCCCTATGTCCTACACTGAAGACCTCCCACCTACAGCCTGATTTGTACCTACAGGAAATAAGGTTTTATAATAGCCCCTGTTGAAACAAGTGGGGAAATTGAGGCATAGAGAGGGCAAGAGAGTGGCCCCAGGTCACACAGACCACTAGCACAAAAGCTGGGACTAGAACCCAGGACTTAGTCTAAGGGCTTTTCCAGTACAATACACTATGAGCTTTTTCAAAATGTACTTTCCCACATCCCAGCCCATTCTCATTTGGGCTCGGCCTGACTGTTGACCAATCAAACATTCTCATTTGTTAATGGACTAATGTTCCCAGTCTAGGTGACATTTACATCCAGGGCTGGATCCTGCTGCCAAAAGCCTCCTGGTGAGAAAGGCAGATGGGGCTAGTGTGACATCTGTCCCCTTAGTCAAGAGGGCATTTGTGACTTATTGGAGCTCCCCAGGCTTTGGTCTCAGACTTGGATCAATCACTTCCCAGGGGTGTGACTACGGCCAAGTTTCTTTGCTGCTCAGAGCCTCCTCTTCCTCCTTCAGGGCTTGCTGGGGTGATGAGACATGATGCAGGTGGATAAGCCATCCTGGAGAAGGTAAGGCCATGTGGCAGCAAAGGCCAGGACCCCCTGGGATGGGCACCTGCTCACCATCTGCAGCTTGATCTGGGAGCATGGGGCTTTCCTCTTCACCACAGCCAGGCTACTGGCAAACGTCCTCTTCACCACGCGGCTCCTCTGCAGGGCCTGCTGGGAGGTGCCCTCTAGGCCTGCCATGGCCCAGCACACGGGCGGCAGCTTGGCCCGGGCCTGGAAAAGGCTCCGCAGCTCCTCCCTGGTGGGCAGGAGGAGAAGCTTTAGGGGCCTGTCAGGTCAGTCTCACCCCTGGTGGGGGGCAAAGCAAATGAGCCCACCTTGCTTCTGCTACTCTGCTGCCTAAACCCTGCCCTTGAATCATGTGCCCCAGATGCTACCCCCCTTATTCGCAGTCCCTTCTGCCAGCTGAGCTTTTGTGACAAATGCCAGCTCCTTTCTCGATGCCTCCCTCTCACCCCTGTCCTTAGAGCATCTCTCCTTCTGTGGCTATTCTTGTCACTTATACCTACAGCAATTCTATAAGGCTGCACCTTCCTTGAGGGAAAAATCATCTTTGGTATCCCTAGAACATTTCTCAAACAGTACACGCTTACTGTAGGTTTCATGCAGGAACGAGTGACTCACAGGCACAACAGGCAGTTTCTGGAGCTGCGAGATAATGTCAATTAAATGCCGCACCTGACACCTGAGCAGATAGTGTTTTCCCTTCGCACCCCTATAATGGACAGGTTCTGAGATTAGCAGGCAGGGGTGCTGACTCCTTAAGTGTCTGCTATGATAAACCTGAGCTGACCTGCCCTCTCAATTGAGCAAAAGAGAGCTGAGAAGGCTGCGCAGACCCTGCGGTGTCCTGGGAGGTGATCCAGAGAAGGCCAGGTGCCTCCCAGCTCCCACCGGCCCCATCCCCTCCAATGGAAATATACAGGCGTCTTCCATCGCTCCCTGAAAGTCCAGGCCGCAACCCAGGCCCCATATGAAGACACATTATCCATGTCCCTCCTGAGCCTGACCTGACTATCCAAACTATTAAGAAAATGTGTCTTAGGGCCGGCCTGTGGCTCACTTGGGAGAGCGTGGTGCTGACAACACCAAGTCAAGGGTTAAGATTCCCTTACCGCTCATCTTTAGGAAAAAAAAAAAAGAAAAGAAAAAGAAGATGTCTTGCCCACATGAGCCACAGGTGTTTAAAGCAGATTCAATGCACAGCAGATGCACAGATTCACAAGGGCTTGGCCATACTTGTGTTAAAATGAAAGCCTGGACAGGGTGTTGGGGGAGGACTCAAGAAGCAGGAGCCTGGGGGGTGGGAGGTGTGGCCCTGGGGGATGTGAGTCAGCCCCTGGCCCAGGAAGAGGACCTCATACCCTGACCCCTTTGTGTGTCTTGCTCCATCTGTGAGATTGAATTGAAACCTCTGGTAATCACCCTATTGCGTGACCTTGTGCAAGTCACCTGTCCTCTCCTATCTTTAGCTCCCTGTCGACAACACAAAATACTTTGTCCAAAACAATGATCTGAAACTTGAATGTGCATACAAACCTTCTGGAAAGCTCTTCAGCAGTCCAAGTCCCTGGGGACATCACCCAGAGATTCTAGGTGGGGCCCAGGAATGTGAATGTTAAGCTAACAGTACTGGTGGATATGGAGTTCTTAGAGTGTGCAGAACCACACTCTAAGAAGAAACACTGTTTGCTCTCAAAAATCACCAGTGTTTGGCTCTACTTATGGATTGACGGGAGGTATATGAGGCATTAGATTTGGATTTACTCCCAAATGTGCCTTGATCTTTCCACACCATCCCCCCGCCCCAGGATGGAACTTTGTATATGCTGTTCCTCCTTCTCAGAATGTCTCCGGCTCACCAGGCCATCTGGTCAACAAAGGCTTGCCTCACCTTTTCCTAACTCTATGCCCCTCATTCAGCTTGAGCCACAGGATTTTAGAGCAGAAAGGAAATCTACAAGGCCACAAGACAGATGTTGAGAGCCTGCAATGAACCAGGCTCCTTAATAAGCCTTCTGCTACTTTATGTCCCCAAAGCTTTACATCAGACATCTAAGCTTAGGATTAGCATTCCCATTTCTCAGATGATGAAACTGAGGTCCAGGTCATGTAGCTCGAAAGAGGCAAAAGTAGCATTTGAACATTTGCCTGACTGCAAAGCTATGCTATAGCCACTAATCTTGTAGCCAACTCTTAATTATGGTGAAGCAAAGACAACCCCGAGGAGGGAAAGTGACTACCCATGGTCACTCTGGTGACTAGGGCCAGGGCTGGGTCTTGATCCAGGCTCCCAGATTCCTCATTCAGTCCTCTGTGTGTTCAATAGCCTTCCCTCCTCTTGCCTCCTCCCAGTCTTGATCTCTCTTCAGGAGCTGTGTGCCCATGAGCCTTCCTGGATATGGGGTTTCCAATCACCTCTGACTATAATGTTCTGAGAACTTCTCCAAGGATCACTTAGACTCAAGTTGCATCCTAGCTCTGCCACTTTCTTGCTGTGTGATCACAGACAAGCCCCTTCACCTCTCGGAGCCTCAATTTTTCTCATCTGCAAAATCACGTTTAGGACATAGCACTGTTCTAAGGATTAATACGATATTTATAAGTGACCATCCTGATGCAAGGCATGTAGTGGGTGGCCAGTAGGTGTTGCTGCTGCCTCACCCTCATGCTCACCCGAGACACAAGCACCTCCCCGGTGGGCTCAGCTTCTCCTCTTGTCTACAAGCTCTGCCCCTGCAGGATTCCAGCATTGAACATGGGAGGCACGTGCACACACACACATACACATGCGCACACACGCAAAACAAGCATTTCCCACTAACTCTGTGAACCGAAAGCAGCGATTGCTGTGGGCCCCGTGCAGCACTTCTGGGATGAGCGGTTGGGGAATGCGGTGAGCTTTTTTTTTTTTTTTAATGCTACAAAACGTATCATTACAGTTTTATGACCTCCCTAGTTCTAAGAGGTCCATAAAAGTTGTTCCAGTCACATCATCTCTCAGACACTTAATGAAAAGCAAAAAGCCAAAATATGAAGTCGCAACTTTTTAGGTTTTGTTCCACTTCCCCAGAAGGCCAGTATTTCTCCTCGCCTGGATTCACTTTGGCCCCAGGGAGACATTGTATGGCTCCCATCCGAGTTACGCTGCTTTGTTTCATTACGGAGGGAAGGGATTCCTGGACCAGCCCTCACTCACTCAGTTGTTGTGATTGCTCAGTCACGATGAGGAGGAAAAAGCAGCTCCTCAAGGGCCCCTGCCCTGTGCCCTCCCTGGCCTGGCTCACCTGCTTGACTGCTGCAGAACCTGGGGAGCATCCAGGGCCGAGAGGTTGGGCTTGGCTCTGTGCAGCCAGCCCGTGAGGTCGTAGCGTATGGGATCCCGTCCCAGCTGGTGGGAAATCTCGCACTGGAGGGGCTGCTCACAGGTCCGCAGGGCAGAGGTCTCTGAAACAGACACGGCAGCATGAGTGTTGGGGCCTGGCGGGGACACTCTCTGCAATCAGTCGGCATGCCAAGCGTACACTTTTTCCATTTTAATGTGTCCCTAGGTAGCTAAAGACACTAGTTTAAGGCACTCACATTTCTCCTGTTTTAGGGAATTTGTGCACGTTATTCTCAAAGTGGATTCCATTCCTCTATGCTTTCTTAAATCCAGTATACCTATTTTTCCCAAATATCACCAGTACACACCATCTTTATAATTTTTGCTGTACACACACACACACACACACACACACACACACACGCATGCACATATATATCCATGTATCATNGACACTCTCTGCAATCAGTCGGCATGCCAAGCGTACACTTTTTCCATTTTAATGTGTCCCTAGGTAGCTAAAGACACTAGTTTAAGGCACTCACATTTCTCCTGTTTTAGGGAATTTGTGCACGTTATTCTCAAAGTGGATTCCATTCCTCTATGCTTTCTTAAATCCAGTATACCTATTTTTCCCAAATATCACCAGTACACACCATCTTTATAATTTTTGCTGTACACACACACACACACACGCATGCACATATATATCCATGTATCATCTGGGCTATGATTTACTTAATGTTTTCCTTAAATCAACTCACATTTTCACAAGTACATTCACTTAAAAAGAAGTATTATATTGCAGATTTGATGTGCAAACTATATTTACTTTCTAATATGCAGGGAAATAAATACATAATTATTAAGTATCTTCAAAATGTTTAGCTGTGTGCTGCTCAAAATGATCCTGAATACCAT